AAAAGATTAGTCTATGTGATTGTAATAATTTATCATATAGTTAATTTCTTTCTCCAAGGCTTAAAAGATTAGTCTATGTGATTGTAATAATTTATTATATAGTGAATTTCTTTCGCTAGACAATTATTTAACAAATAAGTTTTATAAAAAAAATCAACTTCTTTTTATAAACAATTTAACTGTTTTACAAAACCATCGATTTGAAATGTTTTAAAAAAAAACCCTCTAGCCTTTCGTTTTAAGCACGAGTCATATCTGATATCGGTGGCATTTTGATAAAATATGTAAATATTAAAATGAAAAATCCACAAAAATTATAATATGATCGTAATAGTTTTGAAGGCGCTCTAAATTTGGAGAGTGTAAATCAATTATAAAGGTTTAAAAGAATTATAAGGTTTAAAAGAATAGTCTATGTGATTGTAATAATTTATCATATAGTGAATTTCTTTCTCTAGAGATTTGTGTTTTTTATTCGGTTTTGGAGTTTTACACGTATATTCTTTTGTTCCAATTTCTCTATTATTTGTCGGAGGTTTGACAGGGATCTTTGCAACCATTTTCCTAACACTAAAACTATCTTTGTCTCGCCTTTTTTGGGTGTGACAAAAAAATGCAATTTTTGTCGTGATGACCTTAATCTTAAGTTCCAATCCAACGCATGCAAAATATCATACATGCCGTCATGTTTCATGTTATGTCCTGTGTAACAAACGGACCATCAAGATTTATTACTGACGCGAACGGACAATTGAAGATTTTTTTTTATCATTGTCCATTAGCATCATAAAGCATACCTTGCAACCAATCACCACCCGATGCCATTCCATCCGTCTGGCGGGAATCCGTCATTCCGGAGAATGATAATTGAGACGATGAGGAAGACGATAGAGATCGGAATGGATGGTTGTGATCATCATCTTCATCATGATTGAGATTAAGAATATGCGTATGTTGATCACTATTCCAAGTGGGTACAAGAGCCGAAATTTCTCCCTCAATCATATCAGAAATGTCCAAAGGCTCCCAATCTGTGATCTCAAGCTCCTTAACCATTTCAGACGCCACCTCATCCGCTGTATCGTGTAATATATCAAACGGGAAGTACACGTTTCTCACAGAACCTACATACACAAAAAAAAAAAAAAAAAAAAAAAAAAAAAAAAAACGATGCATTTTTTCATCATTCGTTTATCCCCTATGATAAAAAGACCTTTTTTAAGATAAAATGAAGTTGAAAAGGATGGTGAAAATTACCTTCTCTATCTGCAATTTGCACCCGAAGAATAATGGTATCATCATCCGGATTCAATTTCCCAGCAATCGACATGTTGGTTCGTGGTGGATTTCCACCTAAACTCAGCTTCTCAATTTCAATCTCATCATTCATAAACGGTTTCTGATGAACATATTTAGATACAGGTAACAACCCGTATTCATCCATTGCTAAAAACGGATCAAGCATTAGATCTTTAGCAGATAACCTATTCGAAACATTCACCAAACACTTTCCAATGAAACATTGAGCTTCTAGATCTTTCACTTTATAGAATGCCCGTGGAAGTTTACCCTGTGAAATAAATTATAAACCCATGGAGTGAGTTTTTTTAATTTATTTTTATACAAAATCTATTACTCATGTAATCAAAATCGGATCATACCGATGTTACTTTCTTGTAAATTTGTGCAGGATTTGTACATTCGCTATACGGATATTCATGAGTTAGCATTTCTAATACACACATTCCGAATGAGTAGACATCAACCAATTCGTTGTAGTTTTCATCATAAAGCTCGGGTGCCATGAACTCTGGTGTACCTGATATAATTTCACAAGTTAATATGTTTTTTTTTTTAACATAAAAAAGTTGAAATTAACCAATATCTTAATATTTGTATCTAGACATGTACCAATGATTGTATGTGCTCTAGAAGAGCCACGAAGAATAGCTGCAAGGCCAAGATCACCAATCTTTACTTGACTCAAATGCCCATTTACAAAAATATTGTCACATTTAAGGTCTCTATGGATCACGGGCGGATCATGCCCATGAAGATAAATCAGACCCGAGAGAATCTGACGGGCCCAAATCTTTATGGCCCGGATATCCACTTTATTGTATTTCTTCCTGTATCTGAACATTCATATATACACATAAAGAATTAGAAATAGAAGGAAAATGCATTGATGATTAGTGTGTAAAAGAAAGGATTACTCTTTGAGGGTTCCTGAAGTGAACAATTCAGTAATGAAATTAAAGGTTCTTCGATCCACATCAATCCATGAGGTGTAGAATTTGATGATTGAATCATGATTGAGGGTGCCAAGAAGGTGAACCTCTGAGTAGAGACGCTTTAAGTCTTCAGGAGATCTGAGCAAGTTGTTAAGCTTCACTTGACCCCACGCAACTTCCATTCCAAGAACTTCATCAATGGCTTTGTATACAGTTTTCATTGCCCCTTTTCCAAGAACTTCCTTAAACTAAAAAAAAAAAAAAAGGATTTAAAAATCACTGTGAATCAAGAAACCAAAAAGACCATTGTCATCATAAATGGTCTGTGCAGGGTATGCACGTGCATGTTCTGAAAAGAAATTTGCAGAGTAAACAAATAAAAATGAAATAAAAAACCTCCGCCACTAGTTTCGCTATGATTTACAGATCAATTTAAACCACCAAATTTGTTCAACGATCATCAAGATTAGATTATTTTCTCATATGCAAGAGTTTTAACTCCAAAAAGGCCATTTATTTTACAAAGGTTGCATCAAAAATTCCTTTGTGGAATCAAATAACATCAAAGATGACTACTTTCATCATTCTTCCCAAAGGAATCAAACGTAAAAATCCTCAATGGATTAGAAGTTAGAACTCCATTTTGGAATTCCATTTCTTAAATCTTTATCGAAGCCCCTCACATGATGAAATTCGACATAATCAAATTCTAGGGCTTCAAATTCAGAGGCTGCCACTACCAATACTTTAACAATCAAAAGAAACAATTGCAAGAATGACCCATCAAAGTAGTCATCTTACCCGACCATATCGACCGGTTGGGTCGGTCTCAACATAGCGATGACGAGCATCTTCATCACCAGAAGGAGATATTGATTTGGGGTTAAGCATGGCTGCAGCTTTTCTTGACCCCAAAAGTTGCTTAAGAAACTATATAATATAAAGTTGAAGAAGATACGTGTATTAATGTAAGAATATGAAACCAGAGGAGAACAGAGAAAAAAAGATGAGCACCCACTATCTAAATAAAGATTTTTAGGGTTTTTACCGTCATTATTTTTCACAGAAGAAGACACCAAACATGAGCCAAAAATGACGATAGCAGTTAATCTGCTGCAGTATCCAAGAATCAGCCATATTCATCTCTACTACCTTTGACAAGTCGTTGTTTTTTAACTTGTTAATTAAAGAATTCATGCTAGTAAACCTCTGATTTTGGGTGAAGTAAAAATTACGAAGGTTGAGGAATTTGAACAGGTGGGTCTAGGTTTGAATTGACAAGGGAATATTTATGAAAAATGTTTGTGGGTAATCCAGAGGAATTGGACTCTTGTGTGAGTCAAAACTCAAAAAGTTTCAAGAATGGAGATGAAGGTGAGAGACAAGTGACGACGATAAGGATCTTTGAGCTTTAGGATCTGTGGCCATAGTTAGTTGGAGCCACGCGTGAGTGGGGGTGGGGTTGGGTGGGTTGATAAGACAAAAGGAGAAGGAAGAAGTGCTTCTTGTTGTTGACTACTGATTGAATGGCTGGAAGCTTTCCTTCGAGGGCTAATATTCAAAAGTTATATGAATAGTCCTTCAAGTTTAGGAAAATATGAATTATAAGACATTAAAAAAGGGTGCCAAATGAAAGTCCACCGTTTCCAAAATTTCAATTAGTTATTTAAACGTAGGGATGAATATTTTAAACGAAAAATAGAAGCATAATCGGTTAGTGGTATTTTGTCCGGTTTTTTTAATTTTAGTTTACGGTTTATTTGGTTTTCGGTTCCAGTCTAGTTCGGACCAATTCTAGTTTCAAACACCTTTTTACATAGCACACTTCTTTGTAGAACCAGAACCGGTTAGTAGCATTCAGTCTAGTTTTCAATTTTTCGGTTCCAAATTGGTTTGGTGTCGGGCGATTTACATGTCAAACATAACTTTTACCGAAACTCAGAGCATCCACAATGGAAGAGTTGAATGAGGTGGAAACTCTAGTTGCCATTCAATTGATAAAACTTTATCATTACGACTCGTATTTATGAGATGCCAATGACACATTGTCATTCAATGACTTTGTAATTCAATGGTAATTGAATGCTTTAATGGAAAAAAAAATATGATACTTAGATAAACATTTAAATATGTTTTATTGAACTTTATAAAAATCAATGTATTATTGAAAAAAAAATTATAGAATTGCATGAAATATAAAATAATGATGTATCAATCGATTAAACTATAAGAAATTTAATATATTGTGTATACCCTCATATAAATGACATTATCATATTAAAAAATTGAGGGTGTGTGTGATGGTGAAAACATGGTTAAGTAATTTTGATTAATCTAACTAGTCATCAATAAAAGTTTTTTTTGAACAAAAAGAATTTGGATAATATTTTATGCTAAATTTTGGGATGTGATATTATACTACATGTCATGGTATGTGATCAGAATTATTAAGCTAATCGTTAAGGAATACAAGTTATGGGAATTTAGATTACGTATTAAATATTAAATATTGTTTATGCATATTTTTTTTAGCTTGTGCCTTTAGTTTAGGGCATTCCGATTTTTTTTTTTTATCTTTTTCCATGTATTTAAACCTTCTATTGATCAATGGAAGAATTTGAATCTTTATGTTGTCAATTTCTAGATGGTATCGGAGTGGGTTTTAACCCAACACACCAAACCCTAATCAATCAACAATCATGATAGGCACAGCAGAGAGTTCGAACTCGAAGAGAACGATGGCGTTCCATATACGAACTCCACATTTTACATCCATGCATCTGAATACTCCAAACATATACATATCAGCGAAACTCTCAATGACAACAACTATACAGATTAGTCTCAAAATATGATGAACTTGTTAAATGAGATAAGAAGATAACATAGTCAATTAGATTTAGTATTCGCAATATACTTTGTATGTGATCATATCCATGTATTTAGGATCTATTGTTGTAAAGTCATCTATATAATGAAACACTAACCCATTGGGTTATTCACAACAAATACAAAGTTTCACTTGGTATCAGAGTTAGATCCGCCTATCTCAAACCCTGATTGTCTTTCCGGCTCTTTTGGTTTCCTTACAAAGAGTTTCTCTAAATCTTTCTAATCATTTCTGCTCCGGTAAAATCAACCACCATCGCCACAACTATCTATTGTAAACTATCGAAAACTAATTTCTTGCTGTGGAAAGCGCAGGTCGTTCCAATCCTTCGTGGTGTCCAACTCTTTGGTCACCTTGATGGATCCACACCAACACGAGCCGCCAAAATCACCATAGGAACCAGTGAGGTTGACAAAGAGACAAAGGTTGCTATCAAAGAACAAGCAAATCCAGATTATCGGACCTGGGTAATCCAGGATCAGACTGTGATCGGAGACCTTCTATCCTCCATGACCGAGGAAGTCCTCCCTCAGTTAATTTGATGCACCAACACATCACAAGAATTGTGGACATCACTCCACACTATGTTCTCAGCCCAACATCGTGGTAATTCAATACAGATTCGTACGCAGCTCTCCGCAACAAAGAAAGGAGCCATGAGTGTCGTTGAATACTATCAAAATATGACTAGTTTTGTTGACACCATGGTCAACATTGGTCAACCTATGAATGATGAAGAAGTTATTGGCTACATATTAGTCGGGATAGGACCTGGACATAGTGATATTTTCACTGCAATCACCGTCCTAAGCAACGAACGCAAGGTAAACCTACCTGAATTATACTCTTACTTAATTGCTCATGAAGCTCAGGCCAACGCTATGGGGAATACTGTTGAACTTACCTCTTCTGCCAACATCGTCTCTCGTCAAGATGCAAACAACCCTCCTCGTCGCAATAGTCCCAACAACAATGGGTACAACAACAACTCCAACAATTACCAGCGAGGAAATTATCGAGGGGGAAGTGGACATGGATGTGGACACAGACGCGGTCGAAATTATGGAGGACCAAGGTGCCAAGTTTGTGGCATACATGGTCACACTGTATTGAATTGCATAAACATGTTTAATCATGTTTACCAGGCTAAGAACAACAACATCGAAGTGGCAACAGTGTGACAGGAGGAAACTAACATCTCGATAATCCATGGTAGTTGGACTGTGCAGCCACTGATCACTTGACTCGTGACTTGGATCGTCTCATTGTGCAAGAACGATATCATGGAAAGGACTAGGTTCAAGTGGAAAATGGTGCAGGTTTGTAAATTTCATATATTGGTCATTCTCTATTACCCGGTTTAGATCGACCCCTTATTCTCAAAAAAATTGCATGTCCCTAAAATCAACAAACACCTATTGTCTACTCAGAGGCTTGTTTATGATAATCATGTTTTTATTGAACTCTACCCTAATGTTTTCTTTGTTAAGGACATAGCAACGAAGAAGGTGCTTCTATTCGGTAGAACCAAAAGGGGTTTGTATCCTGTTCCAGTCACTCGTTCCTTAAGTCACTCCTGTCAAGTCTCCTCAAGTGTCAAGGTCTCCTCCTCACAGTAGCATCAATGATTCGGTCATTTAACACCTACTATTGTCAAGTCCATTTGACATTCAAATAAACAAGTTTATTTATCTAGTGATTCAAGTGTCTGTGACGCGTATCAACGTGCAAAAAGTCATTAATTACCTTATACAAGTTCGAGTCGTATCACCTCTACTCCACTTGAGTTGGTTCATACCGATGTTTGGGGACCAGCTCAAGTATCTAGTTGAGGGTTTAAATACTATGTCAGTTTCTTGGATGATTGCAATCGATACACTTGGATTTACCTTATCAAAAATAATTCTGATGTTGAATTGTTCGTCAAACACTCCTAGTGTTAGTTTCTACTTTTTACAGACATGTCAGAACGTTTTTTTATAGTTATTACGTATTTTATTTATTCTTATATTATAATAATTACGTATACTATAAATAAAAAGTGGTGGACAAATAAAAGAGGAGGGGAAAATCTGTTGAGTAAATAGAACTTCTTCAATGAACTTATAAAAAAAATATTCTAATTATTAAGAACTCAACGGGACCTTCTCCCTCAAATCAGACAAACAAAGAAGGGAATCCGTTGAGTTCTTACGCTTTCATGTCTACAACTCAATTCATCCGATTACTACAGAGATGAACCCAATCCGGAATATGAACCATAAAAGAAAACACCTACTAAACCGATCACAAGAATACCAGCTACAGTACCTATTATCCAAAGAGGAATTCTTCCAGTAGTATCGGCCATTTACCCAACAAGTTTTTTATAACTTCCAAAATCATGTTGAGCGTCTTTTGAAAGATAAGATTCATCTATGCAATCTGATTGGGGAGGAGAGTATCAGAGATTACATAAATACTTTTAACAAGTGGGCATCACTCATCGTGTCTCTTGCCCACACACATCAGCACAAAACAAAGTTGCTGAGCGCAAGCACCGCCACATAGTTGAGACAGGCTTAGCGCTCTTAGCTCAGTCATCTCTTCCCCTTCGTTATTGGGATGAAGCTTTCCTAACTTCTTGCTACTTGATCAATAGGATGCCTAGTCGAACCATAAACAACACAACACCTATTTTTCGATTACTCAAAATTAACCCTGACTACTCGTTCTTACGTGTTTTTGGATGTGCATGTTGGCCGAATTTGAGAAAATACAACACCAGAAAATTGTTGTTCTAATCTAAATTGTGTGTCTTTCTAGGCTATAACTCAATTCAAAAAGGTTACAAATGTCTAGAAAACTCACTGGCAACATATATATATATATATATATATATATATATATATATATATATATATATATATATATATCGTGATGTTATTTTTGAGGAAACATAGTTTCCTTATGCTACTGCCTCTTGTCCTTCTGTTCCTTCAAGTGAGGCTTCATCCACCTCGTTTCCTCAGTCTGAACCGGCTATATTAAATGAACATATGCGGAATTATGATTTGTCACTTTCATTGGCTAACGAGTTTCATGTAGATACATCACCTACTTCTTTGCCACACTCGCAAGTTTCGTTGCCTTGTGTATCCACAACTCCAACACATTAGGTATAT